TCCACTTCACGTTGAAGTTCAAGCTAAAATCATTAGATAATGTTAACTTGATATATAAATGACTTTATACCGACACAGACCGAAATAGACCGAAACACATGTTTGATTTTATAAATTACCTCACGAACAAGTTCTTTCACGGTGGTATTACTAAAGTTATGAAAGGATTTTAATGCCAGATGTTGCTTTAAACCTTTCCAATTTGCACGATAGACTTTTCCAAAATTACCACTACCAATCTCTTGAACATTGCTAAAATGTTTGTATTCATAGTATTTGATATTTTTTCTTGCGATTGATTCATCAATCCAATTAATCCACTCATTCGAATCATTGACAGCTTGCATTTTTGATTTTGAAATAGCGAAAAGGTCGTGAAAAAAGCAAAAAAAAAAAAAACAAAATGCACTTTGCATATCATGTAACATTAAACTTCTAAGCCACCGGTCATTCATTAGCTGGTGTGACAATGTACACAAATTGTGCGATGCGACTTTGTGATTATTTAAAAATAGAGAATAATTAGAACGAGTGATGATTAAAGAACTTTACATATGTTTTTTTAAAGCGAATTGTAATTTGTACAAGTGGTCAAGATTCATTTTTTTATTATTATTATTTTTTTTTTTTGAATATTTCTCATGAAGTTTCCTAGTGTTAATATAAAAATTTTTGAAATAATTTTTGCTTATTTTGTTTCGAATAAATAGAGAAAACTTCATTTTATTTTACTTCATACAGATTTTTTTAAAAAAAATGAAGGTTATATACTGTATGTGGCACAGAAACCAATGAGGATCTCGTTAGCTTTTTATATAAAGCATTAAATTAGTTTGCTCAAAATTTTCTTTTTTCGCTGTACGAACTGTCGTTGTTCAAAAGTTCTAATTTATTTTAAATTATTATTATTATTTTTTTTTTTTTGTATCATTTCACCGTCAATAACGATAATAACCATCAATGTTATTGCAGACATGTCTTAAAATGGGTATTTATTCAATATAACCTGAAAAATTAAATTAAATGGACGCGAATTTTCTTTAAAATTTCTAAAGTTTTCAACAAAATTTTAAGTATTCTCAGTCAACATTTATTCCCTTGATTTAATTTGAGAACCTTTCATTAAAAAGCGAATATAATCTATATTCAATATGCTTTCTCATAAATTTTTTTCAAATAATTATTTAAACATAAAAATTTTAAATATTCATTCTGTAATTTAAAGTCAAAATAAATTATCTCAAAAAAGTTTGATTAAATTAAGTCGATACTAATAGGAATTTTGAAGTTGTCGGAGCTTTCGAATTGTCCAGAAATGTTTTGACCCGATGAATCGGGAAATTTTAGATTTGATGTATTCGTAAGGAGTTGGAAATTTTCAACAATTATTAATCACTGGATTCCTTTTTATTTGAACCGTTTCGACTATGTAGCACGTAATTTTGATCATATGGTTAAATATTTGTGTTGTACAAGTACTTGGAAATCATTACCAAATTACCAATCCATTCAGAAATTTTTTTTTTTTTTAAATATTTTTGTATTCGATGGATCGAATGTTAAGATTCTGTAACAATAAAAAAAATGAAAAAAATGAAAAAAATGATTCTTAAAACTGACGAAGATTTTATAAAGGAATTTGTTATTGACTTTTATGACAAGATTTCATATGCTAAATACGTTGATCTGGAAAATTTTGAAAATAATGTGACCAAATGGGTGAAACTTATTGAAGAATCTCAACGCATTGATTTCAATACGATCATCGAATTAATGAGAAATCATCACAAAAGCGATTCATGGTTTTCTAGCTTGATCGGATTTTTTTATCAACATGGTATTGGAGGATGTGTAATTAATTAAGATAAGGCGTTAGAATCATATTTACTAGCCGTTAAAATCGAAATTGAAGAAGGTTTGAATCAGTTTAATGATGATTTAAAAGAAATTAATATCATCATTGGAAAATATTTATTGGCATTATATTATTATAAAGAAATTATAGTGAATAATAATTCGTTTAATTGGGTCATACAGTTTCCGGACAAAAAAGATTCCGTTGCATTAAATAAAATAGGATCTAGAAATTACAATGATAAGGAAATTAATGTAATTTATATTAAAGCGTTTGAATGGCATCTAAAATTTGCGGAAGGAGGAAATACTGATGCACAGCATAATTTAGGAAAATGTTATTATTATGGTAGAGGGACTTGTAAGGATGTTAAGAAAGCAATCGGATGGCATTTAAAATCCGCAGAAAGTGGAAATCCTGATGCACAATATAGTTTAGGCCATTGTTATCAGTATGGCAATGGAACAAATGTTGATGAGTTGAAAGCATTTGAATGGTATACGAGATCTGCTGAAAGAGGAAATCCCGATGCACAGTATAGTTTAGGTCATTGTTATCAATTTGGCAAAGGAACAAATGTAGATGAGATAAAAGCATTTGAATGGTATTTAAAATCCGCTGAAAGGAAAAATATTTATGCACAATTTAATTTAGGAAAATTATATCAGATTGGCAAAGGAACGTATATTAATGAAAAGAAAGCTTTTGAATGGTACTTGAAATCTGCCAAAGGAGGAAATTCTGATGCGCAATATTATTTAAGTTATAGTTACAAAGGAACTAGTAAGGCATTTGAATGGTGGAAATTGTAATGTACAATTAATTATATTAATAAATATTATTCAAACATTCGACCTGATTTTTTAAGGAGAAATACATTGCTCCAATTAAATATGAATTATTTGTTGGCCCTGAAATTGAAATTGAGTGGAAAATTGATCTATGTTCGAATTGATAAGAAGTTAACAAATTGGGTAATTACCGGTTAACTGACCGATTTTAACTGACCGGTTGACCGACCGGTTAATGATAATATAATTGAGAAGTTTTTTTGCTTAATAGGAAGTATTTAATTTAACCAATATTAATAATTTTGATTCTTGCTTTAGCAATTCTAGCATGTCATTTTTATTTAGTGGCATTATCGCGGACTTTAATTTTTTTACAGCTAATTTCAAAAGTCACGGACGATCATTTTGCAGATCGATAAAAAAAACTCGGTAAAACTCGGTAAAGAATATTTTGAAGAAAAAACATAATCGCTACGTTCGGATCAGTGTTCCGAATATAGCGACATAATTTTTTTACCCATATATAAAATGTGGATGGCTTTTAAATTCCTTATAAATGTGCTCGGTATATTCTCGGCTGTCCCGTAACTTATGAAATTAGCTGTAATCTAATAGAGAGTTTTCACTATATAAAACATGGTAGTTCGGTTTCAAGTCAGTCGGTCAACCGGTCGGTCAAAATCGGTCAGAATCGGTCGGTCAGCTGGTCGGTCAGAAGCCTTTGACCGACCGATATCGGTCGCAGTTATGACCGGTTATGACCGGTCATGACCGTAACCATTAGCATCCATAAGTAATACACGTATAAACAAATACATTTAAAAGTCACATGAATTGGTAATTTATTTTGCATACCAGTGAAAGATATACTTTACGGATTTTCCTATATCTTTAATGAAAATTTGCTACGTTGAGATTATTATAATAGATTTGTTTATACGAAAATTAGTTTCGTGTATAAGTGGATTAACTAGGTAACGTTTTTGTGGAATTTTAAAATAATAGTAAAAAGATAATAGATTTTTAATATGTGTTTGGCATGCACATGGTTATACACATTAGTAAAATAAACCTTTTTTTTTTTATAACGGGCGTTAGTCTCCAGAAGAATAAGTTAGTTCAGAGTAATGATAACTGCGCTTCCCGTGAAATAACTATTACACTTATCATAGTGAAATCGCATCGCACAAAACATTGAGTTTGAGTTCTAAAAGTTTGTCCATCATCATATTTTCTGCCGTTATAGCCAAATCATATCCTAAATCCATTATTCTTTTATTTTTAATGCTGTCGCAATTTTATTCCATCACTTGTCACAACAACTTCGTTAATATTTCCCACAAACAATTCCTGTCATTTCGACAGCCTTCCAAGAGAACGTGTGATGGAATATTATTTTTTCGACACGACATGCTGTCTATAAAATAGATTTCTATTTTCACGATAGATTTGGGCATAATAAATAAATAAATTTAAGAAAAACTCTTAAACAAATTGAAGTAGTCGCAACTTGAAATATACCTGGATATAAAACAAGATTTTTTTTTGTACCCGGAAAACCATTTTTAATATGAATGGTTTGACTGGTTTTGACATCCGTCAAATCTTTTGCGGTTTCGCCTTAAAAAAATATTTGGCGAAACGTCAAAACTAGATTCGATTTTGACACCCTTCAAAACTTCAACAAATCCAAATTATATCAGATTAATCTGTGGTGAATAAATTAAATTACGAAGTTATATCGCCACCTCTGTTAAATCTCGGGTCGAACTAGTGTTTGTCACGAAGAAAATACAAATATCATGATTATGTGTTTTCTTATAACATGCAATATTTTTTTTATCGGAAATTTTTATCATCGCGTGATTTAGTACATATTTTAAAAGTTTATTACCCATAAACTAATTTTATTTCAGTCCATTATTTCACATTATTTTATTTATGCTTCTTAGTGAATCTATTATGATATTGAATGGAAACTTTGAGATAAATTTTCTTATAGAGCAGGGCTTAGTGTTTCAAATGCTTTTTTAATGCGCAAAATTTAATTTGCTAAGTTCAAATTGTCGTTCGACTTTTGTTTTCTTGTTTGCAATTAATTAGTTAACCTTGAAGGAATAATTAAATAACACTAGTCAATACATCAAGAATATCTGATATATTTTGCTCGCTCCCATTGAAAGAACGCTGCTTTAAATATAATGAATAAACTAAGATAGTTAAAATTTTCGACAACAATAAATATATTTTCGAATTAAATTAGGTCACGAAATCACGAGAAATCAACAAAGGTGTTTATTTAACGAGAAAATTATTTCATAAAAAAAATTTTTTTTTAGGAATTATATATTTGTAATAAATGAAACAATCCATAGATTATTAATTTAACATAAAAACTTGATTTGGATTATACATATAAAAAAATGAAATGATCTTAAAAAAAAATCCATTTTAATCCAGTGATTAGAAAATAAGTAACGAATTCTATAATTGGAATGGAGAAGAAAATCTTTATTTGTTTCCCTTATTTAGGTCAATTAACTTTATATAAAGAATTTTTAATTACATAAACTTCATTAAATAGAACTGCTTTATATAATAAAGTTATAGAGCGACTAAATGAATAATTTTTTTAAATTTTAAGATTTGAAATGCTATATCAGGTACGGCAGGAGCAAATCTTTAGAAATATGATAGTTTCTCGCTGAAACAAAGATAAAAGTTTATTAAAGGTGAGCGCTTAAAAATGCTTTTGAACAAAAAGTATAGTTAACAGAAATTAAGATTGCACTTAAAAAATAAAACTTCAAAAATAACGTTTCACCTATATTTATAATTGTTTAAAAATGGCAGGTATTGAAATAATATAATGATAACGCCTAATTAAATTTAACTTAAGTAATAATTCAGGAATAATTAAAAAAGTGAACAAAAAGAGCAGCATTAACGTTGTAAAAAAAATGACGCATATACTATACATACAGTATTTCTTATTCAAATTCTAATTTTTTGATACAAATTTCTTTGATGATAATTTAAGAGCACTTATCAACACTTGATTTATCCTACGTGACTTATCCAATTTGTCACTGGTGTTTTCATTTTAGTGGTTAATTTCCTCACAAACGTTAAATGTAACCGATCACACCTTACTTTATAAGGGAAGTAAGCCACGGGACTTTACGTTATTCATTTCGGTAGCCTACCTACCAATTAGATTCAAGTGGTGCAGCATATTCTTGCGCAACCTGTCGATTCTTTCTGCAATGTCTTCTTATAAAGAAATTCACGTGGCAATATATATGCAAAGTGCCAATTAAATTTGACAACGTATCGTGGCGTTAGATATTGTCAATTGTTACACATAAAGTTACGCGTTATTATAATTTGTCACGAAAAATGAAAGTTGCAATCTATGGATTATGTTCCCATTTTGAAAATACGAACAGCTTTTATGAAAGAAAGATAAACTCGTGAATTTAAGATATATTTGTCAAGATACATTTATTTAAGATACTCTAATTGAAATCAGAAGTTAATTTCGATGGATTAACGTTCTACACATCAAAAAGTATAGCCTTGTTATTCTTGAAAATTTGTTAGCTTTTTTAAGTTATGTATATTAACGGAGAAATTCTACCAGTTAAGGATACTTAATATCAAAAATTATATTATAAGTCTATCTGATTGCTTGGATTCTGTTTAATGATCGGTATGGAATTGATGGTTTTTTGATAAAGAAATTTGTATAGGAATTAAACTTAAAGTTTTATAAGATTTGGTAAATTTTCATCTTATTTTCATTGTTATTAAATTTAACCAACCCTTGAAAGGTGTTATACGTGTCAGAAATTATTTAAAAAAATATTGCAGCTTGATTGTTCCTCTTAATTTATCTTTTTTTTTTTTTTTTTTTTTTTTTTAGATATCTAGTATCCTTAGTTCATCTTTTTTAAAGATTCGTTTAAAAATGTTGGTTATTTTTTGAGATGAATTGTCTGGAGTAGTTCTAGATATAAAAAAAATAAAAATAAAAAAAATTTGATTCTTAACAAGAATAACAAAAATAAAGGATTTTTTGTAAATTAAAAATTATAATTATTTTTTTTTTTTTTGCTGATCGCCGCACCAAACAGAAAAATTGTTCTTTTTTGGATAAAATCAGATCTGATGACCCTTCTGTACAACAACAAAATTACCAAACGAGGTAAATATTTAAACTCCTATTTTTTTTTTTGTGCTTTCATTTTAGCAATTTTGTTTTTAAAAAATGTCTTCACAATTTTTTTCCAGGTTAAGCCAAAATTATATTGAAATTTTAGATGATGATGAATATTATGATGTTAAAATTGAAGTTGACAAGGATCCGAATGTGAAAATATTTCGGGCGCATATGATCATATTGTGTTACCGTTCTCCATTTTTGCGTCGAACGTTTTCTTCCAATAAAAAGGATAATGATAACACCCTAGTTCATATAAAGTTGCCAAATATTTCACCAGAAATTTTTCAAATTATTTTGAAGTAAGTAACTAAACATCCTATTATCATTTCCTTTTGGTCATCTTTCGTCATGTCATCTTCTAATTAATTATTCACGAATTTTTTATGATGCTAGGTACATTTATGGTGGGATTATTTCATTAAACGAACAAGATACTTCAGATACTTTAAACCTGTTGGCTATGGCCGATGAGCTGCTTCTTCAAGAACTAGTTGATTATTTACAGAATTATTTAATAGAAAAAAAGGCTGGATGGATGGAACAACATTTTGAGCTCACTCATAGAACAAGTTTTCAATTCAATTCTTTGGTAAAACTTCAAGAGTATTGTACGGATTTAATGGCCAAAACACCTGAAAAAATATTTCAATCGTTTGATTTCACATCGCTTTCTGAAAAATCTTTAATTTCACTAATCAAAAGAGATGAATTACAAATGAAGGAAGTTGAAATTTGGGATCACTTATTAAAATGGGGTCTTGAAAAGAATCCTACACTCGTTTCCGATCCAATAACCTGGTCAGATGATGATTTCAAAATGATGGAAAATACCTTAAAACGTTGTTTACCCTTGATTAGATTTTTTAGTTTGTCTTCCGAAGATTTCTTTGATAAAGTTCACCCATATAAAAAGCTTTTAAATCCTCAACTTTATGATGAACTATTAAAATCTTATTTGGTTTCAAATAGAGAACCAAATATTGATATTTTGCTACCTAGGAAAAGAAATGATGGAATAATTGATTCAAAAATTGTCGATTTAAATTTCGTTTCACTAATTTCAAGATGGATTGATAAATTAGGTGTTAAAAGCAAATTCACTTATGCAAGGTTGCATTTGCCATATAAATTTAAATTATTATTAAGAGGAAGCAGAGATGGATTCACTCCCAATAAGTTTCATAAATTATGTGATAATATTCCTTATACTGTTACTTTCATCAAAATAAAAGAGACGGATGAAATCCTTGGTGGATATAATCCTTTAATATGGAATAATTCAGGTACCGGCGGTTTAATCAGAGATAGTTTTATATTTTCTTGTAAGAATAAGGATAATCTTAAAGATTTAATTGTAAGTCATGTAAAAAACATGAGTAATCCAATATATTGTAATGATAATGATGGCCTCTCTTTTTGTGAAGATCTTCGAATATCATATGGTGATGATGTCTATTTTGAACGACAACTTATCCGAAAATATCCATTTTTACATGTTGAAGCTCAACGAAAAGTTAAAAAACGTGTAGAACATGCAATATTAAATAATAATTATTGTAAACTAAACAGCTATGAAAAACATATAAGAAATACTAATGACAAATTTTCTATAGAAGATTATGAGGTATATCAAATTTTAAAAGAATTAAATTAGAAAAAAATTATTTATCCATTACAAAAAGTTACAAATCACATGCTTGATTTTTATAATTACGATATTAAATAAAGGAATGCAAAAAGATATATATATATCAGTAAATAAAAAAATTATAAAAGACATAAAGATATTATTTTTTCTTTATATAGTTATTTAAAATTTTTCATAAATTATTTCTGATGCGTGAATACAAATTTTTTAAGTTCGCGCACTTAATATTATTTTTTAATTTTAATCGGAAATATTTTTTTTCTAACGAATATTTTTAATTGTGATAACACAAATTTTTTATTCTATCCGTCTCAATGTTGTTAGAATTGATGTCATCAACTTTTTCAGATTGGACGTGCGTGCGACAATTTTTATACTTTTTTTATTAGTGACATATTCCCTCAATTAGTTGGATGTGAAGTATTGGAGTCGATTATTTATGAGAAGACTTATTAAATTTAGAAAGATCCAAAAAAATTCTAATTATGTAGTTTTGTATACCAAACAAAGATTAAATTTTATTACAGATATCAGTTATTATACAAGAAAAATCCATGAAAGCCAATTAAAATGGGAAATTTAAAATTTATTGAAAGCAAAAAAAGAAAATTACCTTTTAAGAGATTTATTAAAATTTCAAGCTTTATCGGTATATTTTCTAAAGGATTTATCAAATTTATAAAGTATCAAGCTTCTAAACTCTATAATACAAAGTTAAAAATGTTCAAGGACTCCACCTGTTAAATGAATATTTTAAGACGCGTATAATTTAAAAATTATTTGCAGAAAATATTATTGGAATTTAAACAGAATTTCTAGTAAATCCACTAATCCGTAATTGTCACAAACAAAAAAAAAAAAGTTATACATATCGAATTTAAAAAAAAGTGGTGAAAATAAAGATCCTTTAATATTTAAGGTTACCTCATCGTTAATTTCAATTATTAATATAATTTGATAATGATGAATTGGAGGCAGGCAGGATTTTTTAAAAATGTTCAAACATTATCGTTATACATTTTTCCTAAAGTAGGAAAACAAAAATGGGTATGACAAACTTAAAGGATGATCTTACCATTTTAAGGATAAAAATTCGTATATAAAAGGGCTGGTTTTTAAAAAATGGGAGGAAAAAAAAAGTTATTTCCATAGGTAACCAAAAACGATGTATTATACTTAATTATAAATATGTATTTATTTTAATTTAACTTTGAATTATTACAAATTTCATATAGATTTCTTCAGAAAATGAAAAATTTTATCGTTAAAGAGTGGGCTGAGCTCATTTCAGACCCTATTATTTTTAATGATCAGTCTTGTCAAGTTTTTGAACATGTTAACTTGCCCAAGGTAAAAGATGAGCTTTCAGTAACATTACGACTAAAAATTCAAAAGCTTACATCATGTTGGGCTACTATTTTACACAAAGGTAGGACTAATTTTTTTTTGGTCAGAGAGATTTTTTGGCTAATTGTTATTTTTTAAAATATTTTTCATATCAATATACATATATTTCAGGTACCAAAAGTTCAGTCCGTACGCTTAGGCTCGAGTTGATGCCAAACAAATTCTCATTGCTTGCCCGTTTCACAGGCAACTGGACTGATAATGCAGGAATTCACGATATTGGCGACGAACTTTTGTTAGATAGATGGTACTATGTGGCTTATACGCTTTCTGATTCTGAAAAGAGAGCAGATCTCTATGTAGACAGTGAATGGGTCGGATCCTATAGTATCCATAAGATTAAAAAGCAAAAAATTGTCTTTAATGATGCACCGCTGTATATCGGACGTTCTTACAACGAAGCTGATGGATTTAATGGCAAAATCAGGTACGACTTATCATGATAATAAAATTAATCTACTGTATATCATCAAGATATTTAATAATCATTTTATCAAATAGCAATGTTCGTTATTTCAACTGGCGTTTATGTGCCGAAGAAGTGAAGGAACATTTTTTTGTAAGTTTCTTTAGAATTTCGCATCATGAACATTTAAGGCATCACACTGACAACTTTTATTTGAATTTCAGAATAATAAAATTGCATATGACTCTAAGGTCGCTCTTGTTCATGTACCCACCGGAAAATATTTGTCTACTAAAGGAATCAAATATGACTCGGATAAATGCGACCCGCAATATATGGTATTTATCACTATTTCCTTTTTTCTTTGCTATTAATTATATTAGAAACCTTAACATTGTAAAATTCATTTATAAATTTATAAAGGTCGTTGGTAATGGGTGGGAAATAGATTTGAATAATGATGTGTTTACTGTTATTGAAGCTTTTGATACAAGTGTGAGTGCGGGAAGTTCCGTGCCTTTTAATACTTTAGTTGGATTTAAGCATCAAGCAACTGGAGGAATTTTACATTCTCATACCATGTATTATGGAAGCACACCACTAATGAAGCATCAGCAGGGTTTGTTTGTGCTAATAAAATTATAAACATAATCATTTGCATATTAGTTTAATTAAAAAATAAATTTGCTTTAGTTACCATCTGGCCTAAAAGAAATAATGACGATGACTGGCTCATTCGACGTTATAACTCAAAAGAAGACTCAAGTTATTTATCGGATGGTGATATAATCATCCTAATCCATGATAAATCCAATAAGACAGCACTTTATAGTCATCCCATGTTATTTGGTGATGGAACCCAAGAAGTTTCTTATCATGGAAATGGAAATGACGAAAATAATAAGGTGACTACTTTACAGATTCACTCAAAATGTAACATGTCCATTTTATATTAATATTATAATTCTTTTTAGTGGCGTATTGAGTTAGTTGATTGATGACTCGGAATTTTGATGAGCTATTCGTAGGGAATCTCGTTTCAATCTTAAGAAATGATTGTCGCTTAACCTTTTCCAATTTACTATATCTTTTTTTATGTTATAATTATTTATATTATTTATACAAACAAAATAAAGATTTCTTAAGACCACTAGACAAGAAATAGGTTAAATCCGTAATGAATGGCTCCAGAAATTTTTTGCCAATTGGATCTGCAACAAACTTTAAAAATGTAAAATACTTGAAGCCAACGGAATTAAGTGTAGTAATTATCCCACGTGAATGTTTACTTTTGTCGAGAAATAATACTGAGTTTATTTTTTCATGAAAAAAAAGAGAGGACAACGCTCAACTTCCTTAGCTGTTAGAATTTCAATAGTTGAAGTAGTTATCTGTTTATCAGAAATTAACCAAATGATTACGAAATTTACGAGTGAATCTGATTTTTATCTTTTAAAAACCTTCAATGAATCTTCTATAAAGTTAATCGATAATCGAAAGAATGATGTTGGGAAAACCATGACAAAAAAGTTTTACTGAACGAAGCAATTGGACGTTATATTAATTCAAGTTCGTTTAAACTTTTTATTCCTGATATTTTTCAATTAAATTCGTTTCCTTTTGTAAATTTTAGTATATAATATTGTCGTGTTTATCAGAGATTTTTCAGAGAACTCATTACGAGAATCCTGTAATTTTCGTTGCAAATCACGTAAAAGTATAAACATTATAGTTTATTGGCTAAATTTATTTCCTTAATTTTATTTACGCGATTGTAATTTAGTTGATTTTGATGAGGTGAGTCAAAGTGAATGTGAATAGTGAACAAATCAGATCGGGTTTAGGATAAACTCGAACTGACAAGAATTCTCAATCAACTTAATAAAATATTCGGGTCATAATTTACATAACCGAACTCGACAAACTAGATTATAGTTTAACTCAGACCACTCGAATTTTATAATTTATTGTATAATATTTTGAAATCATTTATTGTATAATATTGAAAATTATTTATTTTATAATATAATATTTGAAATTTATTTCATAATATTAGGTTTATACGTTGAAAATAATCCCAAATTAAGTTAAAAGTTACGGGAAGTACTTCTTCTTCAGAAGTACTTTTGTAATTCGCTCACAACTCAATACTTTTCGTATTCTGGTAGTTTCATTTTCAGACTTGTCTTACTAGATCAATTCTGTGAGTGTGATCCTTGTTAGTTAAAATAGCAAATGCTTCACCATCTTTGCTTTTTCAATTTTTGTTGTTAGGCACTATTAATTTTTGCCCTTTCTCTAATTTATCTAGTGCCCCATAATTCTAAATCTGTTTTCTTTTTTTTAAAAGGTCTTCACAAGTTATAACCTACTATAAGGTCAATAGCTTCACCCATTGTGTAATAGTTACAAACGTGTGATAATCCGGGCTGCCTTTGTAAAAATAAAAGTAGATAATTTAATTATAACCGACAGAATAGGAGGATGTTTTAATCGGAGTTAATCTCGTGATCAATATAAATTATTTGTCATCTCTATCACATCCCTCCACATTTTAGTTTTTATTTAAGTGTTCTTGGAACTTAGAATTTTTTTTAATTTTTTTCGGTGGCAAAATCCTATTTGTCAGGCCCTTATTCATCACATGATTAATTTCTTAATGTCATAATTCCAGTCAAAATAACTCTGCTTTAGACGGTCCTCAGAATAGGCAAGCAAAAAATTAACATATTAAAATACAAGGTTACAATAATTCAAAAGAATATTCTAAACTAATTTCTTGTCTTTAAACCCAGCTTGTTTGTTTATCATATGTTTTACTTTAATGTTAATAAAAAATGAGTCATTTTAAATTATTATAAGGTGAAATATAATTCAGATATGTAATGTAATAAATAAACTTTTATTAAAAGCTCAAAAAAAACTTGAGCAATGCAATCAAGCCGGTTAAATGAATATATATTTGTTGCAAAATAATTTAAGTATAAGCTTAATTCTAAAGTTTTAAAAATGAACTTGCATCAAAAATTGTAAAATAAAAATTTCATAAGAAAAGATATTTAACTTTAAATACTTTTTCAAATAATATTGAAAATTTTTTCGTATTAAAAATCATTTGAATTAAAGAGAGGGAAAGAACTTATATTACAATGTATTTATCAGAATTTATTGTCAAAAGATTTTCTGGAATTTCAAGTTGATAAGTAAACGGTTAAAAATATTAAGTACGTGATTGCAATCACTTTAGTCATTATAAAAATCATTCTATAATTTTCCTTTATATCAAGCGATTATTTGATATCTTTAATATCACTAACCAACATATCATCTCATCCTTTTAGATAAATATTACCAAAGAATAATTAATAAATCAGTTCTATGCATGATAAATTATCGGGTTACACGTAGTTCTGTTATATTTTTACCAATGCTTTGTTATCTGTACAATTAATCAAATGAGTTTGTATAATTAAATGGTATGTTTTACACTTGATACTAACAATGTTTAAAATTATTCTTCTCTTTTGAAACGCTTAATAGTTTTTTTAAATAAAGGCCTATCATAGTTACGTAAATAAATATAAATCGCGACTATTTGTTCAGCTCGCCAAAAAAAATTTTTGTTTTCATTTTCTTTTGAATACTTTATTTTTTCCTAAAATTACATTAAAATGAGTTAAATTCTTTAAAATGAAAATAAAAATTTATTACCATAGTATGCAAACTAAAAAATAATGAGTTAATATTAAAATTAAAAAAAAAAAAATTTTTAATTTTATCTCTAGGATTATTTTAATTAATTTTTAATAAATTAATTTTAAATACAAATAATGTTTAAAATTTATATTATAATAATACAATTTATTAAATAAAATTTAACTACTTTATTATAAAAATTCATTATTAAATAGTTTTTTTGCTTTCTGAATTCCATATGCTTTATGTTCAGATCGGATCACTTTTGTATGGATCAAAGTCCAGAGATACGTACTTAAAAGATTGAAGCACTTTTAGAAGGCTCTAAAAATCCATTCGAATTTAGAGCTTTTAATCAAATTTTTATGCTGAAAGCATAAATGTACATCACTGGGTATTTCAGTTGCTTCCTGATAATTTTTTTTATGCTTTTGAATTCGGTTGATGAACTTATTTTTTTTAGTGTGAAATATTATTTTTTTTTGTAATGTTTTTTTTTGATTGATTATTTTTTATAATTTTTGTTAGTTTTTTCTTTTTATTTTAGACATGCATCTAAAAAATCAAAAAATTTTCAGGTAATTGTTTGTATTTCAGATTTAATCGCTTTCGACGCTACCTTCAAATATTTTGAAGTTTTATCTGAACATTACTTTTAAGTTCCTCTTTTGAATTGGAACAGTGGACTTCATAAATATTTAGCTAGTAGTATATATCTACAATATTTTGAAGTAATTTCGATTTTCATCAAACAATTCGAGATGCGAATAGCCAGGGAACTTCAACCTCTTGATCTACTGCTTTTTTTTTTAAAAAAAATAAAAAAAAAATAAATAAATTACATTTCAAAAATTTACTAGTAGATTGATTATATTGTACAGTAGAACTCCTTTCCCGGTTTATTATAAAATTTTTTTAAAAAAAATCATCAAATCATTTTATTAAGAGTTTATTATATCGAATTCTGATTGTATACAATATTTTTTTTTCGATTTCTCATATTTAATAGAATTTCAACTTGTTATAAGCTGAACGAAATAAATAGGAAATTATACTCTAATATAAAAGAAATAATTTCGATTTATAATATTTAAAATTAAATATAAATGATATTTAAAATAATTTTTTATTTTTTTTTGTTGTTGCGAGAAAAATCCTAAAAATTTAAATTTTGTAGATTATTTTTTATGTGCAATAACATGACCTCATAACGTTAGCAACATACCTTAAGCGGAATTCTTATTTATTATAACTATTATATATTGCATAATGCTACGAAACTCAAAATTCAAAAAATAAAAGATGAAAAAAAAATTTTTTTTTTATTCAATTAGAATTAATTTTTCGTCATACTGTAATTAAAAATTTTTGATTAGATAATGAATTTGAACAACATAATATTAAATTTAACCAATGCTAAAAAAAAAAAAAATAAATAAATTGTATCATCCATTACATTTTTTTGAGCGTTATACAAAATAATTTATAAAAAAAAAAAAAAAATTTTTTTATAAATTAATAAAAATGTCTGTCAGTAATAATAAAGGTAAAGTGTAATAATAAATGCTAAAAAAAGGAATGAAGATCGAGTTTATTTGACAGATATAAGATGATATTCCAATTTTTTTTTTAAAAAAAATAATTCACATTAGAGACAGTTTTAGATGCTAAGATAGCATTCTCATTAAAAGAAATAGAAGGTATTATTAATCACTTTCAAATACTATAATTCATTATTTATACTCAACTTGGTTCTTTAAAAATTTAAAACATTAAATTTTATCAAATTTGAATATAGAACCAGTTTCAAGTAATGAAGTTAATAACTATAATTTATTAACCAATACTATGGTAATTTATTAATTATTATCTGTTTATTAAAAAAATAAATATAGAATTAATGTCATGTGATAAAGGTAAAAATAATAATAACTATAATACTGTAATTCGTTAATTATGATTTTATTATTAAAAATTTGAATAAATTTAAAATATGAAATAGTTTCGAGTGATAAAGGTAAATACATAGCAATAATCAATAATTGTTCAAATATTAGAAATACTAGATGGTATAGAATATATAAATATTTAAAAACTTAATTACAGTATATTATAATCTCAGTAATTAAATTAATTAATTTCAATATTTTTTTTTCTCAAAATATATACTGATATTATAATAGAGCCAGTTTCAGATGTTTCTAATGCTTCCTCATTAAGAGAATTAAATGGTATCAATTTATTAAGTCAAACTATAATATTTAAATAAATAATCTTTAATTTTTTATTAAAAAATGGCTTTATAATATATTAGATTGTAAGTCATTTATTTTCTATTATATTTGATATAATCGAAATTTAATTAAATGTTTTTCATTTATAATATCAAATATCAATATTGATATAGGGAATAAGTTATTTTTATTCTTTATATTGTAATTTAAATTTAATTATTTTAAAGTTTTTAATGATTAATAATATTATAGTTGGTAAGTTATTTTTATTTAGTTTATATATATTTAATTATATTTTATAATATTTAAACTTACTAAATTTTATTAATATAGATAGTAAGTTATATAATAATTAAATTAATTATAAATTTTTATAATTTAATAAAAATATTAATATTTTGATAATATTATAAAGAAAGTAAATTTTAAAATTAATATATATTTATTATAATATCCTTTTTACTAAACTATTTTATTTAAATATATAGATTGTAAGTTAATTTTTATTGATTATCAGTATTTAATTATAATTTTTACTGTAATTTAAAAACTAAATTTTTTATTTAAAATACAAAATAATACTAAGGGGGTAAGTTGTTTTATTAATTA